AAGCCTTTCCGCAGTGAGAACGACCATATTGAAACTGCTAGAAAAAGGACGTATGGTGGAAAATATCTTGTGTGTCCGAATTGTAAGAGGGAGGAGTTATCCGACCGCTCCTGCGCATTCACATGACAGGGACCTCGGAGGAAATTGTGAAAAAGAAGTTATCCGTTTTCAGATACCGAGTTCTCAACGTTCAAAAGTTTCATAAAATTTCTTTATAACAATTGACTCTATAAACACCTTTTTTGACTTCTAATTTGGAAGTCATACTAGTTATGAGTTAACCGCCAATGGAAGTGGTAGCGCGGTGTTAACGTTATTGTGGGGAAGCGTTTCCTGCGGTACTAGAAAAAACTGTGGAAGTCTCACTTCTCCCTCACGCTGCCACTCACCCAGGTCTGCGCAATCTTGTCTTTGATTTTCTTCTGCTGCGCTAGAGTCCAAGAGCCCATGGCCCAAAAGTGCTGAAGAGCATTAAATGATGGGGCTGCCCTCTTGTTGAATTCTCTGAACGGCACATTGTAGTGGGCGCTCAAGTCCCTTGGTAGACTATGCGTTAGCGCCAATTTGAGCTCCTTGACATGAAGGCCATCAAGATTTATCTGCTCGTTATTCTCAGTATCGGACGAGCCGTTTGACAAGCCAATTGACGTATCAGAATTGCTTCCTTCCCATGGTCGCATGCTGTGGTCAATGGGAACCCAGCGATCGGCACTTCTCCAGTGGTCGGAGCCGACCATTTCTGATATTCTCAGGAGTGCTCTTTTATAGGCAAACTTCTCGTCTTCACCAGTGAAGGCTTTTACATTGCCAAAATTAACCGACCCTCCTCTGTTCGTGTCCACGTCCTCGAACTCTTTAGCGTATTCCAGATCGTATGATGAAATGTTCGGTCTATAAGGATTCATTGCAGCGATAGCTGTCTTGGCAAACATTTCTTCTTGTTGAACAGTATCATAATTGTCTTCGTTTAAGTTTTTTTCATCCGGGAAAAATAGTCTGTCGACGTCTGCTTCACTTCGCATAAAGAATTGACACTTTGCTTCGTACAATGCATCCAAAAGTGTGATGAATCTTCTGGCTTCATTCTTCATCTTTGTGGTCATCACAGGAACATTGTCAACAATGACTGTTTTAAAAGCTGAAGCAAGTGTGATATAGTCAGACGACGAGAAGAGCCCGCGGCAGATATAATCGAAATCTAGGTAACACACCGACTGATTTTTGAAAGTATGGGGGATGAAAGACTCCCGATTGTAAACCTTGATGGATGCTGGTTTCAGATCCAAGTCTTCTATCTTAATGCTGACGTCCATAAGCGGTGATGAATCATCAATTTTGAGAGCAGCGGACTTTAGAAGCTGGTTCCAGGTGTACTCATGATCACTGTCGCTTGATTTCACAACGTGGTTTTTTCTTTGTGACAGCGAACTGGCAAAGTACAGTCGATAATCCTTGGCCGATTTCATGTCAACACTTATGCACCTGGCGCCGAGAATTGAGACGAATGACTTGAACCTGGACTTGTTGAACTCGGTTGAGTAAAGCTCCTCTGGCAATTTATTACTTGTTGCAACAAGAACACCCCCTAGCTTGAAGTAATAGGTGAACAATATGCGTATTATCTGAGCTGATGCCACATCTGGAAGCATGAACTCATCGAGCATGAAAATGGTACTTCTCCCAATCATCTTTTGCGCAATCTCAAAAAGAATAAACTCATTCTCCATTGTCATTTTGTGCTTGCCAATGGTTGATGCGGTTAGCATGCGCTCCTTTTGTATTCTGTGGATCTCCTCAAAGACCCACAATATGAAATTATTGTAGTGCCATCGCATTTTTGAATGATGTGGGAGAGTATTTGCAAAAATATCCATGAGCATTGATTTGCCACATCCAACCTCACCGTTTACCAATAAACCTTGAGGTGAAGCTATGTTTTGCAATTCCTCTTCATCAGTCATAAATCTCACCAAATCACGTTTCTGGGCTTCAATATCCTTTCTAAACCAACCTTTGATTCGATAAAAAGGTTCACTTCTCAACAGGTCCAATTTCACAGCCTCCTCAGCTTGTCTTATCTCGAGCTTTCGAAGAAGGAGGGAAGTGCGAATCGCCATTTCTTGAGGCGGGCTGTAATTGATAACACGGTGATAAAGCCTTTGAAACTCCTTCATTACGCGTAGTTGTGCCTCGTCCTTCTCCAATATGCCCCGCAGGATGTAGTTTTGATAGATAGCGTACGGATCAGTGATGACCACAGATTTCGAAGAATCGGTCTTATCCTCATTAGTGTGTCGCGGAAGACGGCCGTTCACACCTTGAGGGCCTGTAGTTCGTACACTATACCATCGAACACATGGCTTTAGTCTTGGAAACATCTAGATCAAGAAGTGTATGACTTTGAAAAGAACCTGTAGTTGAAGATGCCGAGCCGGCAGTTAGGCTCGCGCTAGATTGGGTGCATCTGACACCAGTGCATTTCGCATACGATAAGATCTTTTAGATTAGATAAACCCAAACTTTTAAGAGTAAAGCATTTGCGTGTCTAATTAGTCTAAGGAGCTAGCTACCAGTGGAAGATTCGGAATCACTTTGTGGAAGACTCTCTCCGAGTCTAAGCTGTGCGAATTTACGGTCCAACGAGTTTGACAAACCGTTCATCTCTTCATCTGATCTTCCGTAGAGCTCGAACCACCACTTCACGTCAGAAAAGTTCGAAAAGAGTACCTCAGAATCTTGGGCTTGATCAAATTTCGGGTTGCGAAATTCGTTGGGTCTCGACAAGAAATAATCCCAGACCGAAATACTCCAAGTCTTCGTTTTGAGCAACGTTGAGGCCTCATAGTCAGAATCACACAAGAAAGTGCCGTATTGGCAGGAGTAGTGATGATAAAAGAGTCGCTTCAAGAACCTGCTGTTAAACTCAAATTTGTCTGGATGCTGGCGAAGAATTTGATATACACAATCAAGAAATTGATGAAAAATTGGAGATTTCTCACTGCTCCCGGTATATGTGGCACTGGTATCGTCGCGTAAATCATCTGTGCTACGCTCTGATACCGACAGTTTTGCTGCTGAAGCTGTGTTCTTAATATGAAGTGCTGCCTTCAGAAGGAATGTGGCAACACTGGCTTTGTTCACGCCGGATGTGAAGTTCGATGATGCAGGTAAGGTGACACTATCAGAATCATTAAAAGAGTCGCCTTTAGTGTCCTCTTTAGCAGGAAGGAGTGCTCCAACGCAAGCACCGTGATCGGCTCTGGTCGCAAATTTGAAACCAAAACTGAGCCATTCCTTCTCAATAAGTACCATGAACCCCTTCATGGTTCGAAAATATGGGTCTAGGCATATCTGCAGTAAAGCTGAGACTTGTGACGTTCTATCCCAACCATCTGAGCAGTGGATAAGCACATTGGTGTTATTCAAATGAATCGACTTCGTAATTCGATCGACCGATTGCAAGATGATGGATAGACGATGTAGCCACTGTGTTTTAGTCAACGCTTGCTGTAAAAGTGGCAATGACGTGGTAAAATTCCCATTACTAGCGACAGGGTATCGATCAAGCTCACTCAAGACGCTTGTGAGCTTGTTTAGTGAATCACGCATGACATGAATATTATCAATATTGCAGAATATTTTGTCGACGCGCTGCGGTGACCCCACCTTTCGATCCGCTCCATCACCTTCTTTGACCTTGCCTTTGTAGTTTTCAACATTTTCTGTACCAGCCCCCAACGCATGTTGAGCCATTGCATTTGTTATAGGACGTAAATCCACTATGAGGTTTCTTTGGGGTTGCTCTCCGTACTCCAAGGGACTGTCAGTAGATGATTTCACCTCCCGTTCTTGGGATCTGAATATTTCCTCGACAAGTTTTTCGTCTTGAAGCGATCTATTTTGAAAGTTGAGACCAACTAATGGTTGTGCGCAACGGGCAATAACATTTTGATTAGATCCAATTCGATGCCTGTAAACAACAGCAGGAATGCGTTGCTTCAGTCTAAACTTACTTGCGTGCTGTAACACTGAATCGGATATAGCATTAGGAACAATTAGGTGTTTGGGATAGGACTGACATAGTTTGTATTCCGCATTGATACTCGAGAGCCGCCACACGGATTCATGCAGTTTCAGTGTAAGCCCTTGCCTAGTATACTCAGCTTCAGGGTCATATAAATTCCACCCCTTGTCTTGAAGTTTCGCTTCCATCATGTTGGGGCGATACTCTGACGCATAAAGGTCTTTTCGCAGGCATTTCAATTTGCTTGCCATGGTTAATCGACTAAGGAGTTTGAACACCTCGGCGCATGCTGTCTCGGTTTGAAAGTCGAATGAATAAAACGTGAAATCTTTGCAAAAGATTTTGATATGCGATGCCATATACTTATCGAACCCTTCAGGGTTGGGCGATGATGATGCTGGTGAAGTCGCGAGAAACGATGAGCTCGATTGCAAGGTATCCCAAGAGTTTCCTCTGGCCTTAAGTATCTTATCTATTATCGGAAAGCAAATCCAAATCTCCTTCTGTTGCGCAGTCGTGGGATCCGGTCGAAAAGTGAATACCATGTGGTGCTTCGACAAAAGTAGCGATCCGGTGATGTGGTGACCGCGTCTTGTCAATAAGACATGGTCAATCGAAGTTATGCTATTTTTCTCCATGGATTAAGATCGGTATCCTACCACGCTTGTCGATTGCAGAGGTTGTATTTCGAGATCCAAGTAGTGCTGCGCTAGTCGCATTACACCTTATCAGTGCTTTCCTGCTTACAATACCCCGAACTGGTCTCCATGATTTGGGCATTTATGACTGGAATAAGGGAGTTTTTGTCCTTCAATACTTTGTGAGCCCAAATCCTGATTGATAAAATCTACAAATGTGGTACAGACCTTCACAATACTGTTCTACAGACGAAATGCCTCCTAGGGCTGAGATATATTCATGTCTCGTGCGAGTTCCCTCTCTTGATAAGTACGAACCATTAGCACCCTTGAATAAGCTAGATTCCATCGAACTTGAAAATACCATTGTTTGACAGTTTCTTCTTTGGTTTTCTTTCTCTTCGTTTTGCCGTATCATTCGAAGCGGCATTGTTTCCGGATTCCTCCTCCTTACCTTTCCGAGCAGTAACAATTGTCTTTTGTTTTTTCACGACTCCATCATCAGAACTATCGCCACTATCTTCGACTTTGACTCTTTTCTTTGAATCTTCTTCTGTGACTTCATCAGTACCAATTGCAGTGTCATTCGTCGATTCGCTCTCAGATTCACCCTCAGAATCTGACGCTGTATCATCATCACTGTCACTCCAATGCTCGTCTTCCGAACTATTCAGATCATTTTCTCCATCGCTCAGTTCGAACTCACCACTCCACACTTTAAGTCCTTCCATCCCCGAACTAATGAGCCTATAATCGTAGTCTATGTCAAGCCCTCCTACCTCGTCTAGTCCACCGAGCTTGCCCATGGCCGCTGAATGTACTCTAGTTTCAACGACCTTTGATTTCTTATAGTCCACTCTATGGATCAAGCCTTCACTATCACCACACCAAACGCATTCGCTGAAGTTCTCATTTCCTGCGTTCATTGTAGGAACAATCGCATCGATGGAGGCATTCTTATTAACTTTTATTCGCAGAATCTGGTCTGATAGTCTGTTCGAAGATTCTCTCCAGAGCGAAACGATGCCCTCACCATGAGATACCAAAACTGTATCGTTTTTGCCCTGATTCAAGTATTCGTTCGGGTAACACATTGCAAGTAATTCGTCACCTTGATCGTCAGACTGGGTCACAATGCCTTTTCTGATATCGAAGTGTGTCAATGTGGTAGATCCTAATGACAAATAGTGGTATGGTGACACTGCATTCATGGGTAGAATCTGATTCACCGAATCGTCATGCATGTTCTGAAGGTTAAATTTGACTTTATCGTTGTGTAGCTGCCTACTGTCGTAGACATATACATGCCCATCATCAGTTCCTGCCAAAAGATATGGATGGGTTTGAGAAACTGCCATGGTTGTTATCGCATCTTTAGGATTTTCATAGCTAGAGCTGAGGTCCGTCTTGGCTACCACTTTGCCTGTCTCAGTGGAGGCCTTTTTGATCACATTATCGGTACCACCAGAGTAAAGAAATTCGCCGATGGAGTTTTCTTGCACCTCGAATACCACGGAGCGGCATGAACCTTTGTGTCGTTTGGTCTTCCAGTTCATCTTCACTTCGTCTGAACTTTCTTTGTAGTCTACTTGAGACCACCATGGTTTGGCTAGTTTTGAGATAGATGTCTCATCCTTGATCGATTTCTCATGCTTTTCCTTTTTTCTCGCAAGACTATTCTCGAGAGCCTCTGCATCGTAAGAATGGCAATAGAGGTGTCCTGTTGCGAGGCCAGAGATCATTAAAGGTCGAGTCGGATGTGCTGCGACCGAGAAAAGTGGTTCTTCATAGTTTATGGCAAGTATTGGAGGGACTTTGGACTCCTCTGAGGGACCGTTTGGTTTAGATTTGCTTTTCCTAGCCATTCTCTCTAGGGCCTCTTCTAGTAGCGCGGATAGTCATCGCGATCATCACGACCACCAATCTCAATTCTAGCTTCATGCAGTTTGAAAAGTTTGTCTATGTGAAATACATGCTAAAAAAAAAGGTCTAAAATATATCGCCCGTACCTTCAAGCTTCTTATCCTTTCTGAGTTTCCAGTACTCCTCGTTAAACTGCCAATAGTTATCACCGGTGACTGGATGCTGCTTCTTCACGAACCAATTTGGTTTGTAAGTAGACCTTGTGGCCTCTCTCTTCCTCTTCGCAGCCCTTTGTTTCTCCTCAACCCTGTGCTTCTCATTTGATGCCTCGTCATATCTACCATCTTCCATGGCTCTCTGATCGGGCCTCAATCTCGTGTCGGTGGGTGCTAACCATGGCTTCAAAGTCTCAGGGAGGTCATTCAAGGTCAACGCGAATGAAGTCAAGTTAAACGGAACCTTCGGGCGAGGTGCTGCCTGCCACACTAAGAATTTAGCTCCAGAATAAGGGTCCTCACTAGGCTTGACGTCCTGTGAGTCGATCAATGAATCTCTTCTGGCTTTCTCAGACGTTTCGGATACCTTACGGGCAAATATTTTCAGGTTCCAGTGCCCTCCTATAGCCCAATGAGAATTTCCTTTGTTGTCATTCACAGTACCTGATAATTGGTAGGCCGATGAAGCTTTCCATCCCCTTTGCTTCAAATCCACGACAATCACGTCTCCAGTTGTATGATTAGTGACTTCCATTTTTCCGTAGTTATCAACAGTTGGATTACCAACGATAATTCCCACCACTGAGGTGTTAACTTTCTTCCAGCTGTAGAGTTCTTCTTGGAGAACTTCACCCTTGATCGACTTTACACCCTTGTCCGGTCTTATCACACAAAACATTTTTCCAAGGTGCTTGAAATCGAATGAACGCCCCTTGAATTGGGAATCGACAGCGTTTTCTCCATAGTAGTCCCACTTCGGTGATTGGGCCTTGCATGCACTGATAGGTGGATGGTGGCTCACTTGCTCGGAGATCAACCTGAAATTCTGATCAGGACGAGCGTATTCAAAAGTCTCACCTAGCAAAGGATTGAAGGGCTTGGCAATTCTGTTGATAGTTGAGGCATACTCTGAAGCCGCAAATGCTGCCACATATACCATCCTTAGTGTGGAGTCTTCAATAGAGGCAGCTTTTTGAAGAAGATCGTTATATTCGATGTCTTCAGCAAGTCTTTGAAGAAGGGAGGTGCACTCATTGAATGATACTGGAAGCGTCATTCTGGTCATGTCCTTACCAATCATTGACTTCAAGATACCCCATAAACCCACCTTGGGCCTATTGTCTTCATCATAAGCAAGCCTCGACCGAGGAGGCTTCTCATAACCTAAGAAAGAGCCTTCCTGCGTCAAGATGTTCAACACCTTCTCTTGAGCTTCATTAGCGACGTTCCCTGCACGTTCAACTTCAAGCTTGGGCTGGTCCTCGATCACTGGCTGGTCCTCTGTTCGTTCCACTTCCTTCGCGTCACTTCTCTGAGCTTGAGATGCACCTGCGTCAGCACTGGGAAGAGAAGCTGCGCCAGTCGCAGCCAAGCCGGTATTCCTGTTAGCATCACCTGCCTCTTCAGCGACAATTTGGTCACTTTGGGTATCGGTAACACCGACCTCGGTGCCACGACTTGTTTGCGGCTGATTTGGTTCTTCAAATTCGTCGGCATCAAAAAATTCATCATCTGAATCATGGAAGATCTCCTCAAGCAAGGCGGAGTCGGCTGATTGAGCATTGCCTTCAGCGGATGGCTGTGCTTCAGGTGGGGCATTGGGTGGCGTTGCTGAAAAGAATCCATTTGCCAGTTCATTAGAAACTTGCGGGGACAGGATTCCCCTCGACTCAAGAAGCTTTCTAATCTTGTACTTTTTACCCTCAAACTGCGCCAAAGTCTGCTCACGCTTCTGAATTTCACTCTCTAATTGCCGGATGGAGGACTCCCAGAGCTTATTTATCTCGTCTTGTCTCTCGATACGCTTGAAAAGCTTCTTCTCTCGCGATTGCACCAGCTGGTCATATTGCTCAATCAAAGTGTGTACGTTAGAAAGTGTCTTTAGACCAACATTGTAGGGTTCGCTATCAATCTTGTCACTCAATGCCTTGAACAAATCGAGGAGACTCGATATCTCGATAAGAAGAGATCGTTTTGTGGCAAGCATGGAATCCCTAGACAATCTCGTAGCATCGTCCAGACTTGGATCACCCAGTCCATTGAGTATCGAAAGAGAGTCTGAGTCTTCAGACTCGTGATCGAGATCGTAATCAAAATCTTCCTTCGTCATCACTGATTGGGCACCATCGAGACTTTTTCTGGCGTCAGAGGGTTTAAGTTCCTTGATTTGCAGTAAGTTGGGAGAAGTCGCAGTACCTTTGTTTTCAGAGCTTCCCACCGGAAGGTTGTCCTCGTGATCTGAACCAGTAAAAGAACTCAAAGAAACTTGGCTCGAGCTCTTCTTGTGCTTGTTGCGACGAGGAAAATGCAATCGCTTCTTCTTCTTTTCGTCGTCCCCTTGAAGACCGGCTTCGTCGATTGAGGAGCGAGCTCCATCATCCAAAGACTCTCGGATGCTGCTCCCTTCATTAGCTGCGACATTGGAGTTTACATTCTCGGAAGTGGCCTTTCTCCTTTGCCTCAAGTTGTCCTTAGAGATGGTGATGGCATTTTGTAAGGTCCATACCCAACGATTTGTCTCTACCGGGTGGTTAGCCTTCAAGTGCCATTTGATGCCATTCTTGCCAATGATCTCGAACTTAAGCTTCTCGGAGGAATCAAGGTGCAAAGTTGCCAATCCGATATTCAATGATCCTCTGCATGCGTTGTTTGTATCGCCTTGGTCAGCGTAGTAGGAGAGAATTCCATACTGATCTAAAACGAAGTAGCGTAACTTGTAGCCAGATGCGAAGTTGGTCCATTTCCTCAAGTACCCCTTGTAAGTGGGAGCACTTCCAGTTTTCATAGGATTACTAGCATTCACCACCGAGTCCATGATGTTCAGATCCTTGGACGCATGCTTTAAAAGTTTTCTTATCGGATCATTCCTGCTCACCAAATCTATTGGCAATTTCCCACGTTTGTCACGCTTGAAGGGGTCGCCGCCGTGCTTGAGAATCCAATCGCACATTTCGACATCTTCTTTGCCAATAAACTCATGCAACACGGTATTCCCGGTTTCGGGATCCGCTCCATTGATATCTAAAAGTTCTGCAGCTCTGGGGTTGAGAACCAAAAGTTGTTCAAGACTGTCAAAGTCTCTAGCACTAAAATACTGACGCAATTGAGTAGCGGATTTCTCAACAAATTTAGCCCTTTCGAATTGCATCAATTGAGCGATATTGGCGTCTCTCGCCAATTCGACAGGCTGCTGATTTTCCGCGTTGGCAACCGTGTCATTAATTCCCGGCAATGAAAGAAGATACTTCACAACATTGTAGCGAGAAGCGCCAGCAGCTAGATGCAAAGGCGTATTACCGTCGGAATCTTGGGCATTGATATCAAAGTTATAAGCCTTGCTGTTAATCAAATTTTGAATCGTGGTCAAAGGGGCAACCTGTACTGCGAAATGAAGGATCGTCTCCCTCAACCTCACCAATTCCGTGGTATCGACAACTGAGTCGATGGAATCAAGCTCCTTGATCACGGAATCGATCTTCGATTCATCGCCCGCTCTTAACGCATCAATGAGTTTGAGCCTTAAAAGTGAGGCGTTCAAGTGTTGAGACATTGATATCTAACAATGTACTCTAGTCTCAATAATCAAGAGTGAGAAAAAGTGATACTTCCAGATATTCAATTAGGGAGTAGCAAGAAAGTTGTAACACAGAATGACGTTTGTGAGCAAGGTATACTCTTCTCGGGTTGACACGTGACCATCGTCATAGTGGCTGTGAGAGAGACTCCGGCAACCCCGCTTTCTGTGCCAGAGCGAAATCGCAGAAGTTGAGTTATTGCCAATCAAAACACAGCTTACATTAAATTACATGGGCATTAAGCTTTTATGAATTCTGCATAATTGTTCTTGTCAATTTTCGTCTTTAGAATCGATAAAAGAAAGTTTCACCAATCTTCAATGTGAAACGCCATACTGTTTCTTCGCAGGCCATGACATTCTGCAATAAAGAATCATTTCATTTCTGTCCAAATTGTGAAAAAATGCTACGTTGTACAATTTCAAAGGAGACTAAGAACAACAGCCTACAGTATGAAGGCTAGGCAAGAAGACATCAAGCGGAAAGTGATTTACCTAAACACAAAGTCTTGGCATTTTTACAGAGCTGCACAAAAAGTGGCCAAGTTTATGGGATGGTAAGTCAATTCTGTGCTGTCAAGCGGCTTGATTGTTCGAATGACGTCCCTACAATCATGCTACAGTAGAACCATTAGAATGTATTGTTTACTTCCATTACCTCTTTGAGTTAGCTGGGACACTAAGAAAAGGGGCCTTTTACTCAATTACATGTTTTGTCAAATCAACCTCGTTCGAGCTTAGCTATAAAGATCAGTCTGGCATTTCGGTTGTGCGCAGACATCCCGACACGATGGTAACAAATTATTGAGACAAAAAAAAAAAAAAAAAAAAAAAAAAAAAAAGGGGCCTTTTACCCAATTACATGTTTTGTCAAATCAACCCCGTTCGAGCTTAGCTAAAAAAAACATTTTGGCATTTCGGTTGGGCGCAAACACCCCAACACGATGGTAAAAAATTATTGAGAAAAAAAAAAAAAAAAAAAAAAAAAAAAAAGACTCGATCTCAACCACACAAACACACACGTTTCTATTAAACTGAAACGAGCTGGGCAAAGTCTCGGCCCATAATTCTATCTGGTATCCTTTAATTAACCAATACCCCGAGACATACTTTTGAGTTCGTGAAGCCTTTACATTGTCATTTTGACACCACATCCGAATCTCACTTTGAAGTGGCCACGAAAGAATTCTCGCTTCGTTTGACACCTTTAGCGTTCAAGATCGTGAATTGACTTCACTTCTGATTACCCATCATAGCAGTATCCTCAAGTTGTTGGACCGCCATTCTTTTGTATGATCAATAGAAACTGCATGCCATCAAAACTTGTTGGGAACAATACTCACATCTTTTTGGAATCAATCAGCGAGTAAATTTATCCCAAATCCATCTGCTCCAATTCTCATGCATCGCCCTACTTGGTCAGTATGGGCCATACTCTATAGCATAATATTAATGGTCGCTGAGACCAACGCTATTGGAATAACAGTTCCTGCAATCAGCTCAGCTAACCCCAAGCTTCTATCTTCATCAGAGAATCTACTTAACTGTGTCGGATATCGAACTTCCAAAGATGATTTAGTTTTTGTGTCGTTAGAAACCGGCGATCGGCAGCCCTCGCAGAAATTAAATTTGAAGGTTATCGATGATGACAACAACATTCTTCGAGCGGCAGATGATATTGCTAATGGGATATCGTTCATCTTCACTAATCTCAATAATCCAATTCAGATTGGAGAAGATAGTCTGTTTAATTTTTTAAACAAGTTCAGCCCGAGGAAAGAAAGCACTGGGAGTGATAAAGCCGGGGATGGAAAATATGGGCACTTATTGGATCCAAGCATCGGAAACTCCTTCATTCATATATGCTTTGATAATATATTCTACGACAGGTCGTGGAGCTTCAAAAAGCAAACGAGAGACGTTGATCTTCGCGTCCAAGTCAAAAATGCCACTACCTTGCTGCAAGTTGACTTCAACGAGTTCGCCAAATATTTCAGAAGAATAAGCCTTGCAGAGGACAAGGGTCTGAGTTTGTCTCCAAACACGAGGACAGAATTCACCCAGGAACATTTTGAGGAGGCCACGAATCTATTAGCAGTCCAGTTGGATAAGATCAGTGAACAGCTCAAGAACTCCGAGGATATTCTAAACAGTCTTAAAGAGAATGAGTCACGATTGAGGGATGTGAATGAGGCAATATTTGCCAAGTACACAAAAACTTCGGTTGCAATTCTCGTATCCATTTGTCTTTTTGGCTTTTTGCAGATAGCATACTTCAAATTCTATTTGAAACGCAAAAGAATAATATAGTGATCTGCTTCGCATCTCACTTGATGTCATTAAATTTCATATATCGATAATTATACGATTTAATACCGCATTTCAATCCATCACTAATCCACTAGCGACTCCTCTCATTTTCTCGTTGTTGATAATACTCTGGCAGATGTTTTTCTGTGATGCTCCGTCAATCAACTCACCTTGATCAGAATAAAGCATGCTCTCTTCATAGCCCATTCTGATTCTTGGCTCTGTGATTCCTAGTTCACAAGAGGCTAATGCCTTTATCACATTATAATAACGCAGAATCGTACCCCTCACGTTCCTATCAATGTTAGCATCATTCCTGTCGCTATAGATTTCCCATGATGATCCTTCCTCTAATCTTGTTATGGCCATGTTTCCATCTCCAGGGGTGTAGTCGTTATGATTGCCAGAGGACAACCTGCTAGTGCCTTCATGATTTTTTGATTTGATCGTTTTACTCAACCAAATAAATCCATTCATACCAACGACAATACTCACATTTCCCGGCAAGTCAAAAGAGTGATTCTTCTGCTTGATAATTAAACTGGAGGGCACCAGCAAAAAAACGCCATTTCTCAACTTGCCATACTTCAAAGACCTTGTGTGCAATGAAGCCATTCCGTTATTAAAAATAGTCTGAACTTCGGCATTAAGTAAGTCTCCTTCCTTCAAAAATGATCTCATTTGCAATTCATCGCTTTCAGATTTTCGTCTCAAAATCCCTCCGGGTAAGTTCACAGACCCAAGCATCAACACAGCATCTTGCTTTGCCCCAATATTTACTTTCCATCTTTTTTGACCAACCTCTGTTATACGGCCAACGACATGATCACCTGTTTCAGGCTCATACCTTCCTCGCAATGGTACAACACTGAGCAATCGGTTGACCCTCGAAATGTTGCCGGCCATGGCCGAATAAGTCATGTTGTCTAAGAAATAAACACCATGTCCCTTCATCCATATCGGATCGTCTGTTATCAATTCGCCAGGGGTCACAATCGAATTTGCGTTGCGGTCACTGGTATGCGACACCCCTATTAACGGTTCTTCAGAACCCTCTACCTCTTCCTCAGAATCCGATTGATAATCTTCGAGGTGTTTTGAAATGTGCAAGGATCTCTTAGGGCGTGAAATCGCTAGAATTGGTTCTGACATTGGACGTAAAAATGGGTCAAGGCCTTTGCGATGATGATGAGCTTGTATACTATTTGTGCGCGATGGATCAAAATCTGAAAATTCTATAAAAGATTCCAATTGAGCTGGCCCAGTGCGAAACACTCAACATAGTGATTGATCGGGGTTGTCATATGAATGGCAGATTTTTCACAAATCTTCTCAATAGACTAGCTATCAATTCACTGCTTCTTCATCTTGGTCGATCACAGATTCAACGACAGAAACCTTTCAGAATGAGCTCAAAATTTTTATGCCCTGTGGCTCGAGGAATGAAGGAATTGGACAGATCCGTCTTCGAAAAAGAAATTGACCTTCTTGTTGCCAAGTTCTCAAACCCACGCTACGTCGGTGAGTTCACTAAAGTATGCAAAAACCAGCTCTTGAACGTGCCAAATGTGAAACACATTGTGAAGATTGACAACACCAAGGGGGTTCTTCTCCGAGATGATATTGATGATATTCAAACTTATAAGCTGAGCTTGCCTTCCGAGGCTTTAAAGTTGATGGAAGCCCACGACATAGAAATTGAACCTTACAAAATGAAACTAAACTACGATTTCTGGAAAGCTGATGATATATTGCAGGCAATCTTGCCAGCAGAATTGTTGAGCGAGAGTCCCAGTGGTTTTGCACAAGCCGGTCACATTGCTCACATGAATCTCAGGAACGAATTTAAACCCTACGGTGCATTGATAGGGCAAGTCATCTTGGATAAGAATCCTACTATCAAAACAGTTGTTGATAAGCTTGACACGATAAGTAACAAGTTCAGAGTCTTCGATATGAAACTATTAGCCGGTGAGAACAATTTTTTGGTTGAGCAGCATGAAAGTGGATGTAAGTTTAGATTCGATTTCAGCACAGCATTCTGGAATTCACGTCTCAATACGGAGCATGAAAGACTTATCTCAATTTTCAAACCTGGAGAAGTTGTTGCCGATGTATTTGCAGGAGTTGGACCCTTCGCTGTTCCCGCTGCGAAGAAAGGTGTATTAGTTTTGGCTAACGACTTGAACCCAGAATCTTACAAATATCTCAGCGAGAATGCTTCTATCAATCAAGCACTGCAGTTTCTAAAGGCCTACAACTTGGATGGTCGCGAGTTCATAAGGCTGTCACCGAGACTTCTTTTCGGTTGGAAAAACCGTGAAGGTTCTGTTGAGAGGCGCAAAGTAAACAAAAGAAGACGAACAGACGGCACATCTACCGATGGAGTCTTATCCACTAAAATTCCATCATCTATTTCCCAATACGTTATGAACCTTCCTGGCTCATCTATTGACTTCCTCGATGAATTCATAGGGCTCTACAGCCATGATCCTGAGGTCGAACAGTTTGTGAAGAACGCAGAAGACTTCACGCTTCCGACTATTAATGTTCACTGCTTCGAGAAATATGCACATGATTCCCCAGAACCGACAATGGAAGAGCTTCACCGAAGGGTTCATGCCCGTATAATAGAAAAAATCCAGTTTCCCGCTCCAATCGAGGACTTCACATTTCATTTGGTTCGCAAAGTTGCACCAACCAAACCAATGTTTTGTGTTTCCTTCATTCTTCCGGAGGAAGTTGCGTTCAAAAAGTTATAAGCAAGTGATAGTAAATTGAAATTTTGATCGGCTTTTGCATTGGCACAAATAGAAAGTCAATTTTTAAGGAGTCAACTATCTGAGACATCTCATATCTTTGATCTACGCGTCGCGAGTCCTGGATGCTTCGCGAACTTCAGAGTACTGTTGACCATTACAACTTTATTCTGGGAACTTAATACTGCTTAAATTGTTCACACCGTAACAACTAATGATATCCCTTTACAGCAATCTTTCTCTGCTCATAATCTCAACAATCGACAATCCTCGAAACTCAATCACCCTTGTGGCAAATGATCATGACATGTCAGAACCCGAAGTCGACCAATTTATCCATTCTTTGATAATTGCTTTTACGTTCTGTATCATCCAATTGAGCCTATTTTGCTTCTTACGTCCTCGATTTGATCCATTATACCAACCTCGCTGCACGCACGTCCCAGAGATTGAACGAGTGGAGAGACCAGGTGATGGTTTTTTTGACTGGTTGTTTGCAACGTGGAACGCACGAATACTGGCTTATCTCGACAATGGGCTAGATGCTTACTTCTTCCTTCGCTTTCTCGTTTTTCTTCTTCTATTTTTCCTGTGTTGTGGCTTACTCAATATCGCCATCTTGGTACCGATCAATCTCTCTATATCGAAGGACGCAAGGGCCAGCATTCTTCGACGCATGAGCGTTCATATCATTGACGATGAGACGAAATCACTGCTTAATTTCCATTTTGTTTGTGCCGTCATAACAATCTCAACGCTACACTTCTTATTGATTCAAGAAACCAAGAGTGCCTTAAGAATCAGGTCAGCTTACATGGAATCCCCTCGCTACAAGATGCTCGTGTCATCAAGGGTCGTCCTCATTTCTGGGATACCACATCATATGCGAAACTATCACAGTCTTGCTACTTTCTGTACTTCTTTCGCCGGCAATATTGAACACTTGTGGTTCGTGGATGACTTTCGTGAAACTGCAATGAATGTGCGAGAGGCACAGACGGCATTTGATCTTTTAGAAAGAAGTGAATCGAAATGTCTTGCTAGGGGAATCCCGGCTAGTTCTTATTCTCAGTATCCTCCATATCAACTTGTGCTTCCAAATTTTGAAAAATTCGGTATACGTTCTAGATTTCTTCTATCATCGTGGGTGACAATGTTGATGGGATTAGAAAAGCAACCCATGCGCAGTTGGTGTATCAGTCAAATAATAGAAAGCAACAGGCGGATGAATGAACGACAAAAAAAAGGTGAAGCAAGAACTGATAAGGCTTTTATCGAGTTTCAGAGTCAGTCTTCTGCACGCATTGCAAGTCAGTGTATGAATTTGTCCGGCAAACATTTCGGCAAAACAATTACTGACGTGGATCCCAGAGATATTTTTTGGTCAAATTTACTTGAAGAAACTGAAGTGGTGAGACAGCTTAAATACTTCCTTATACGGATTGCTCTCTTGTGTGCAATAGGCTTTTCCGTTCTTCCCGTTTCCATTATCGGGTTCTTCTTCCAATCAGTTTCCCACCTGATTTCGTCAATAAACGGAGTGAATAATCTCCCTCCCGAAGCTCGCAGTCTTATCGCAAATGTTCTCCCTTCCCTCATGCTAAACATCTACACAGTGTGCCATCTTGAGCTTATAAAATCACTCCTCAAACATGGCACTATTTGGACTGGCCAAGAGCTACAGCTCCTTTTACAACGGTGGTATTTCTTGTCACTCTTTGTTCATCAGTTTCTTGCCGTATCAATTTCTACCAGTATTACAAAAATCTTTTTGCTGATCATTCAAAAACCATCTACACTACCAATTTTACTTGCAAGAAATCTTCCCGAGGCTGCTCACTTTTTCTACCGTCATTTCGCAGTCAAGATTCTTGCTGTTTGTGGAGCTGACTTCTTGAGAATCGGAGGACTTATAGACCATCTTGTGGTTCAACCTTGGACTTCCCTCACTCCTCGAGAAAAATTCCTCAAGTCCACAAGTCTTCGTTGTCCCCAATGGGGGCTACTTTACCCTATCTTATCATTGTATGGTGTGATAGGGGTCACCTATTGTGTGATTTCCCCGATGATTACAGTTCTTTTGCACCTAGTCTTCTTTGTCATCTTATTCTACTTCAAATACGCCCTTCAGTTTGTCTACGCCACAACAAACCCGTCCGAGACATACGGAAGGCTATATTTCAATGCGCTCTCGCTGCTATATTGGGGAATTTATTGTCTCGAAATCAGCATTATTGGCTTCACTTTCAACAAGCTCAATACCAAGCTCACAGGTACTACATTTTCACAACGGGTTGCGATGATTGCAGCCTTGTTACTAACTGTATTCATACATTCGTCTGTGGTATCCAAATATTCCAAGTACTTCAAATATCCTCCTATTGTTACGTCTGGCTCAAGTTTTACCGAAGTAGGTAGGAAACTGTCAAAAGGCCAGTTGTATAAACATCCATGTTACAGGTGGAAGGTACCAAAAGTTTGGCTTCCAGATGATGGTAGTAATATAGCTGGCAAAGCACTCATTGAGATCGAAAAGCTGTCTTCTGGTCAAATTTCAGCACGTTTACTTGCGCAACAGTCATAAAAGGACGAAAGGTTCACGCACAAATCGGTACTCCTTTACCCTCATATTCCGTGTATAATGTCAGAAATCTCGATCCATTCATTGACTAGTGTCCACTTATCATTTGATGAAGGAGTAGAGTCATGCCCATATACCACAACATTGTCAACTTTTGCGATGGCATGGTACAAGTTCGATGTCGTTATATTGTCATCTTCATTTTGAGATACGACCTCATTTTTGTTCACCAAGTAGACATCATGGCTTTCGACTTTCACTTGTTGTCCCACGAGTTTGAGTCCCCTGAAATTTCTAACATCAACTGTTTTTCCTCCTTGGCTTTCTTTATTTGATGATGCTTCAAAATAGTCATTAACAGCAGCATTTCCACTATATCTAATTGAAACAGGAATCACACTTGCAGTAGCAAAAGGCAATTCGTTGCCGTTGGTCAAGTCTAAACGTCCTACCATTTCACCACATGTGACCTTTGAAGTAATGTAAAATGTTATGGCGCGTCTTGCCTCACGCGCACGGTGAGTCTGACAGAGGACCATACGTAATCAGTCGTCGAGGGCATGAATCCATCAACGCGACGAAACTCTTCATCAGTACTTTTTTATAGATTTTTTGACAGCTTTCGACGATCGCTTCCCTCGACTACTAAAACCTAAACTTTCGACTTATATTGTGTCTTCCAACTCCACTCTAGCATAGGAATCATTCTTTGAAAAAGACAAAAGATTCCTGATAGCAATCAATCACAGTTATTAGTGAAATTTATGCATCAAGATTTGAAATGTCGACGAGCATACTCATTCTGTGACCCT